GTCTGACTATGTAGTAGATGAACAAGTCTGACTATGTAGTAGATGAACCAGTCTGACTATGTAGTAGATTAACCAGTCTGACTATGTAGTAGATGAACCAGTCTGACTATGTAGTAGATGAACCAGTCTGACTATGTAGTAGATGAACCAGTCTGACTTTGTAGTAGATGAACCAGTCTGACTATGTAGTAGATGAACCAGTCTGACTATGTAGTAGATGAACCAGTCTGACTATGTAGTAGATGACCCAGTCTGACTATGTAGTAAATGAACCAGTCTGACTATGTAGTAGATGAACCAGTCTGACTATGTAGTAAATGAACCAGTCTGACTATGTAGTAGATGAACCATATAATTATTTAGTTGGTAAGCCAGTGTGGTTATGTAGTTGAATCAGTTCATCATCTATGTTGCTGAGTTAGACTGTGTAGATGAACTTTCTTCCAATTTTAAGATAAATAAATACCGCATCCTCTTTCGTCTGAGTTGTCACCACAGTCATCATAGCCGTCACATTGCCAGGAGGCATATACACATTCACGATTTTCACAGGGAAACTGATGAGCTTGACAACCTGAAATTACGCAATTACTGTATGCTTATTGTTTTGTTTTTACTGGATGTAACACGTGATTATAGGTCGGCTTTTACAAATTTGCTTATGCTCGTGTGTAAAAAGTTACTTAAACATTTGAATTAATCTTGTTCAATGACTAAACAAAAACTACTAAGTTTTCTTTTCATTCAGCCCCCCCTCCCCTTCCCCCCTTATTTCAATGTAAGGCATTGCAGCGACACTCGTGCTAGTTATTTGCCAATACTAGGCTTTGATTGCATAGCGGTTGCTGGCCTGGGATTTTAATCGCATAAATGCGAGGTCAACTACAACCAAAGTAAAACATTTTTTTTATATACTTGCAATATTTTTAAATTTAAAGGTATTGTTTATTACCACAGTATTCTTCGTCTGAGTTGTCACCACAATCGTCCCAATTGTCACACCGCCATGAATTGGGTATACACCGTTTATTTTCACATGCAAATTGGTAAGAGTCACAGACTGTAAGTAATGAAAGCGACAAAATTACTCTTGCACTTAACAACAATTATCTATTGAGATAAACACAATAAAAATGTAGAAACGAATAAAAAAATGTATAAATTGAGAAAATGCATGTATTTAATATGCGATGCAAATTCAATTTAAAGTCACGCGAACGACGAGATGATCAACAAATCACGAGATCTCAATGATAATAAGACATATTTTACTCACATCCACGTTTATTCAATAATGTCTTTATGTCATTAGATTTGGACTGTAACTCGGATTTGGAACTTTTTGCGTGGGGCGGCCCGGTCATCTTCTTTAGTTTCGGATTAGCCATGGTTTTTTTAACACTCTCCGATTTGGTGTGCTTTTCTGGAAGCTGGGCGCGTGTTTTTTTCTTACCATCAATGGTGAGTTTGAATAACTCTTTGACAAGTTTCTTGTGGGTGTCACCAATTTTAACGGTATCATCGTTGATCGTATTCTTGGTGTCAATGTTTGATTTATGCTGTTGGATGCCGCGTAGTAACTTTTTGTAATCTTTTTCCTAAACGTATTGCAAAAAAGATCATAATTTAACAAATATTAAAGCAATCATTTATGTTATATAATATTATTTTTTGATATGGAATGTTTACATCTACCAAGCAATCAGTCTTTTCGAGGCAGCACATTTTATGGTATCCATAGTCTTTACTGTATCAAAACATGGCATGTGAGTCGTGGCATCTCGTGTTTGAACTAAAGTTTATTATACCATTGACTGTTAAAAAAAATATCCTGAACTTAAAGATTTTGATGTATTTTTTCTGCATGTCTCTGGGTATGTGTGTTACATGGCTCCTTTTGTATGAAAGGACAATGGGTCAATGACCAAAAATTATTGCACCCAATACATTAGCCAACGGTTACGGTTTCATTTTCACGAAGTTTGTAGACAGTTTTCTCCCAAATAGCAATGTCGGCCATCTGACCGCTGCAGTGTAAATGACATAGGAAGTTGTATGGTTTGATAGTGCAGTTTTATTATGAAAATATTTTTTTTAATCATACCAAATCCTGATAATGCTGTATAAATCGGGAAAAACATTTTGTTTTAAATATTTATCAGACAACCCATTCTAACAAAAGAACCGAGAGAGTTTCCTAACTGTTCTTCTAGTAACCGTGATTAGCCCTGCATCCACGACGTTGTAAGACTATAAATAGCGCCCAATCTAGTCTGATGTTAATACATGTATGTATCAACGTAAACCATTACAAATCACCTTATTGGCTCACTCGGTAAATTAACCAACCATCTGCATATTCCATCGGTCTTTAAGTAGTCGTCATATTCCATATTGCCATGCCATACCAAAATGCCATATTTTAAACAGTGAGCGGACGATCGAACTTTTACTAGTACTTCGGCCCTCACCTATCGTTAACGGTACATATAATATCAGCTTAATAGAACCGTGAGCCCCCAAGGCTCTTGCGTATAGACACACACCTCCATTGGTGACTTTTACTACTACTTAATATCAGAAATACTGCTACTAAAATATCGGCCAACTGTCTGTTGCTCAAATGGAATGCGGACCATTTCATATGCTAATTAAAACCATTATGCGTACCCTCTACAATGTGTTCATTCACCCCTTTGTCCGGGCCTCAAGAATCGTATCCATGCAACACAAAGTTTGTATTTAGTCTCCAAATACAATGTCAAAAGTGCGGGTAAATCTTCGGCACGTGTTTTGATAACACTTTGAACAACATAAATTCGAAATCTAAGTTTATAAGATAAAAACATACACAACAACAATTACACAATTAAAGAGATTGGCACATGAAAAGGCTGGCGTACGTGACAAAATAATGTCAGCCATACCGCATTCAATTCGCTATATAATTCAACCTAAAATGTTAAGCCATAAACTGCTATGGGCGAATTGAGCAACTATCTTTTATAATTGTTTGGTCTGATCGCCATTAGCATAGAGGCTGTTGCGTCGGACTCATTATCGGAAGACCAGAGTTGAACACAAAATTGTCGACTATTACCCTCTATGAATGTGCCACAGACTAAAAGGGAAAGTTCAGTGAACTGATGTGATTCATTCATTAGTGAATGCGACATTAGAAGAACCTTCGGTTAAGATCCACAGGTGACTGTGTTCGATCGGACCTGCTTAACACCGGGATAGCACAATGAATTACCATAATGCCATTATGGCAGCAAGATGGTCGCACAGTCACCTCGCGTAGTCCCCAACATGAATACAACTCTATACAACCAAACGCACTATATGTCAGCATTCACACTTTATATTTTTATATAAAAAAGTCGGGAGAGACAACAGTGGAATTCGATATCCGGAACTGTAGCACAACAACGTTAAAAAACTATCCCTTGGTTATACACCACACCACAAGACATATACTTTCTTTTTAAGTGATCGTTGTTTATTGTGTTCCCCTCTCAATTAGGAACATTTACCTACCTCAGGTTTCGCTGCTGTATAGAGTACAGTGCATGCCAACAGAATAGTCACAATGACCAGCCATCCCGTCTTTGACGTAGCGTCCATAGTCAAACACTCATGGGTCTAACTGAGGAAACCAAATCGAAAGCGCACAGTGTGTGTGGGAGGAGTAAGTGTGCAGGGGTCAAGAGAAGTGACAAGTACGCTACCATCTAGTCAGTAGCGGCTTCAAGATGTTACATAAATCTGGTTGAACCACATAAAGTGAATTGTTTTTGTTTCCTCAATTTCCAGTATTTTTTTTTCATGTGCCAAATGCTGTTGACTGTTTATTGGTGATGATGTATATTCGCAAAATACTTATTGGAACGTCCCTAGTCATGCAGGGATTGTTTCTCGAACAAAAGCCAGTCTCAGTGTTTATGATCTTAAAGGCCGATAGATCATAGCATATGAACAAATCAGAGTGGGAGAAATGAATAGTCTGATCCATACCAATTAATTTGATCTACGTTCTACGTTCTTAATCGAACTAAATAATGCCTCATTGTTATATACACCACCAATCTACGAATTGACGATTTTCTTTCATAAATGGAAGCCATGGTGTTACTAGCCTAAATTCTGAAAGTTTTAGGTATTTTAAGTCATAAAGCCGGTTTTGGTCAACAGACAATTAAAGAGTTTGTTTGTGGTAAATTATGTTTACGTTGCTTAATTAAAGCAGCCAGTGTACTAGTATAAGTAGCTAACGCCATGGGGCATCCGGGAGTTGTTTTGGGCCACGCCCTCGTAACCTTCCTCCGTCTCGCGGTGTTTCCCACTCTGATAAACTGGTACGTTAAGAGGAAATGTGAAATGTAGTTTTTTCAGGAAAAGTGGTGATAAGGAATCCCCATATAGCACTAAACCTTCACAGTATCGAGACAGTGTGATGAGATTATCGCGGGAATAACGCGTGACAATGTTGCCGCGTCTGACGTGTTCTAGTATGATGTAATATATATACGCACTTTTTCGGAACACGTCATGTACAGCCCTTTACGGACGGGTGGCGTCTATCAAATATATGTATTGCCTCTTAAAGTTTAATTTAAGGTGAATGTCCAGTGACACCTCGAGTTCACGGGTACATAGTAAGCACTGTAATAAAATACACTTGAACTCACAATGTATGACGAACTGGGAGACATGACGCTAACGTATTGTGGTGCACGTATGTGTGACGGCAAATAATCTATTAATGATATATTTTTTTGTCAAAATAAAAGAAATTCTTCGAGCATAATGGCTCAAACAGAAATCTGCACATCGCTAATTGATTTCATTTTTTACTAGCCCTGAGTACAGTCCTATATACAGTCCTCCTTCCGCTGATCATTCGCCCCAACAGAACTCACCGTTTTAATTCGAATAAAGGTAGTATAAGTCGATCGATAATTGCTGCCGATATCATGCTGTGTGAAGCCGCGATTAACTGCAGAACCTTTTTTTACCGATGCACTTTTTTAAATAATGGATTAATTTACCAATATTTAACGCGTTTCAACGCTATTCTTAATGATTATTCACAAATTTGAGACGAAATATCGTTTGTTAAAATGAATGGAATCACATGAAACTATGATTATCATATTTACGCAGAAAACAACGATGGAATCAGCCGACTAGATGCAGATACAACCGCCAACGAGATTTCGCCTTTCAGAATTATCAAGAAGAACAAGAGAAACCATCAGACGATCGTAGATGGCGCTCCGTAAATTAGCTGTTATAGACAGTGTTTATGATACAAATTGCAATCTACATCCAAACTAATCTTGTGATTATATAGAAATTGAAATTGTCCAAAACAAAACGTTCATACAACTGAACGCAAGGTGGGTGATGTTCGACTTCGCATTCGACTGTTTCTTTATATTAGAATTCTCTACCGCTCTCAAAGTAACTGTTCTTTTTTTCTACAAGGAA